GCTGCTTTACATAGTGCACAATAGGAAACAACTGAGGGAGCACTGCCATGGCATCCATGATGGAGAATATGTCGTTAGCATATGCATTTCTAGTCCAGAATCAACCCGTCATTACTTGCAGGATTTCAGTAGTTCGAGATTTTCGGGGGCGGATGGCTCGAATGGTGGGAGCGCGCAGTTACTGACCAGAAGATCCGCGGTTCGGATTCGACCTCCGCCCCTCGAGTTTCCCTGGCAGGATGCCAGCCTTCGTGCTCCCTTCGGGTAGCATGGCAGTTAGGTACCAGAAGGGTGCTACAGCTGAAAGAGATTTTCGGATATAACACGGAGACACCATCGACAAATAAAGCACACGTGTGAGGTGAAACTCCTGAGTTATTCCAATATTGTGGGCCTCTGGATGAATGGATAGTTTGGTTCAAAGAAGCAGAGTTTTTGACAGCGGCGAGCGCGGAATGCTATCCGATCAAGTCTTATCTACTTCGGTTGAGCATATTTGTCTGGAAAGTGAATAGCGGACAAAGGAGGTATTGAGTGGTGTGTGGGCAACATGTGAATGGCCAGACAATGCCGAATAATATCACGATATGCGGGTCGCGACCCACGTGATTCTAATGGACCAGGGCGCAGGTGACTTTCGAGCCCAAACAGGACGTGTGCATATTGGGATGAAGTCTGAATAACTTTGAATTCTGGAGGAGGTAGAAAGATGTGCATTGCAGTCTGATGAGTGTATGCATGGTATTTTTGGGCTCACCCTGAAATCTCGACTGGATGGATCTACGTGTATCGTACAATGGTAATCATCACGCCTACATACAAAAGATTTCTTTGCATGCAGTCTTGATGAGAACTACGTGGCCTTACGTTTCACTGACATTTGGCGTTGACTGTAACGTGCATTCAGGCGGAATCGATTAGCAGTGTGGTTGGTTCAGCGCCAGATCACGAAAACCACAATCGCGTGAAAGTAGTAATATAGGTTACTTTGAACCGCACTACTAATGCTACGCTGGTTTTATTGCACAGGGGACAGTTTCAAGGTTTGGCGACAAAAATAGGCCCACTGAAACGTCAGATTTTTGGTGCCTGAAGAGTTAGCCTGTGATAAACTTGTGCAGATATCGAGAGTGTGTGGGTGA